TGGCATGGAAAGGAGTGATTCAAATCCAGAACAAAGAGCACTCCACACTGCAACATTAAGTTACAGGTCCCACTTGTATGCATATTCCTCAGGGGATCTTGGCACGAAAAAACTGGATAGAGATTTTTTTCCCCTCCCTCTTTCATAACACTAGACGTTGTAGAAATCCAATTAAGCTAAATGTTGGAGGATTTAGGGCAGTTTTAAAAAAAGCACTGCTCCATTCAGCACACTGTTAAACTACGGAACTCACTGCTGCTGGAAAACAGAGAGCAGAGGGAGACAGCTTGATCCCTGCCTGTGGGTTCCCCACAGATCAGCCAAAGTGAGACTATGATGCTGGACCTGGTGGGCCATTGACCTGATCCTGCGTGTGTCTCTTAAGTTCTTCCATTCAGGTCGGAGAAGCCAGTGTTTCATCTCTTTATTATTCTGGCCACCTGTGTTGGGGGCCCAGGTTGCTCTGCTCTTGCCCGAAACTCGTGTCTTGAATGGCCCCTGAAATCACAGATGTTAGCCATGCTTGCTCTGGGGTTAACACGCTGTTAGGTAAGCCCCTGGGGGAAACACTTTAGTGTTGGCGCGAAGCACAGATTAGATAAAGGAATAGTTTCCGCACTAATTGGTCTCTTAAGTGTTCCTCCTCGCCCCTCTTGTCACCAGAACCACTCGCACCTGTGGGAACAGGGAGAGAGAGAAAAAGCTGCTTCTGCCAGCAGCCGCAGCCGCACACACCCATTTATAGCTTTGTCAGGCCTCTTAGCAGGCTGTCAGAGTCTGGAGTGTTCGGTGACGGTGTTAACCTTTGGAGTACAAACTGTCTTTAATGCAACTACAAGGGAAAGAACAAAGATTTGAGCACACCGTCTCTAGAAAGCTTGCGGGTGCTATTCCTGGGGGGACTTGGTAATCATCATTATCAGACAGTAAGCCTTTCCCATTTGCAAAAGGGCACCACTTTGCAAAAACTGGGAAAGGGACCCCCACAGGTAAACTAATTCAAGGGTCTTTGGTGTTTCCAAACCCACAAACCATCTTTAACACCAAACTGCGACCCTGGAGACACGTTTGGTTTTGCTTTATGCATTATTTTATCTTTACATAATGCTCCCACTTCCTTACTTTCCTGGCTAGATTCGCCAAATTTTCTCCTCTTCTCTTTTGCCCGACCCTTTTCTTCTCATCTTTTCTCTTCAAAAGTTGAGGTGCCATCCAGTATAGGTACAGCCCAGTGTAACTAATCATCAGGCAGCAACCTTGTATTCAAGCAGTGCATCATTCATATGCCCCAAACATCTGCTTAACCCTCCGTTTTGGTTTTCCTCAAATTGAAAATCTCCCTGGGAAGATTCCTTCAGAGAGAGAGAGAGATGAAGTTTTTTCCTAGGACAGGGATGCAGAATCAGTAGTATCTCTGGATGCTTTTGGTTTCCAGTTCCCAAAAGCTCCACAGCTGATGGTCACAGATTATGGGAGTTGTGTTCTAACTGTCGGCATGCAGAGGGCAGGGAGGCCAGCTGACTAGCCCCAGCTGGGCCATTCCCTTCCAGCGGCCCGGTGCAAAGACCATCACTTCTGCTCCAAAGTAAATCAGCGACCAGGCTTCAAAGCCAGGGCACACTATCAGCAGATCGAACTGCGCACACAGAATAGGTGTGAGGCTTGTGGAAGCATACTACAACTACAGATTTATTAATCATAAATCAGGACAAAGAAACATGTCATCTCTCTCTCATGTCTTCTCAGAGAAAACAGCTAAAAGCAAAAGCTATACACAAACGGAAGTTCCCAGCACACTGTGCTGGAATATAAACAGACAAATGCCATGTAACAATCCCATGTCTGGTCCTTAAGGTGGAACGGAATTCTCAACACTAACAACAACTGGAAGACCACAAAGTTCCGCATCCCTGTCTCAGGAAAGCATATATACCATCATGCAACACACAAACTCTCCTGAGTCTTTCTGTCTGTTTGTCTGTCTGTCTGTCTCTCATTCCACACAACATCCTAATCCCTATACAAACAAAGAAAAAGAAACACTGAATGCTTAGAAGGGGAGATCAGCTTTGTGGCTACAAGCCCAAACAGCAAAAGATCTGTACGGATGCTCATTACACACATTTGAGCGGTGAGAGCTGAATGCATTGCGGCTCTGTTTGGACGTTTCACCAGAAACACCAGAAGCTACCCTAGATCTTGGGAGCAGGTCAGCAGTGAAGAAACACCAGGGTCAGGGAAGTTAACCCTTTGTTCAAAGAAACCAAAACAGCTCAGGCCTAGTGATCCCAGCAACACTTCTCAGTAGGACTTGCCCCAATGTGGCAGTTGCAAGGACCGCAGGTTCCTTCCTTCCCACAGCTGCCTAAAACCTCTCCAGGGTTCACACACACACACACACACACACACACACACACACAGGCAATCAGAGACTGTGTCTGCACCCAATCTATTGGAGATCGAAGCTGCTGAAGACGAGCTTGGAAAACAAGGCTGTCACTGGCTGCTAGCCAGGATGGCTCTGCTCTGCTGTAATGCCTCTGAACCATGGCAGAGAGTGTGGGAAAGTGCCCTTGTTCTCGGTTCCTGTTTGCTGGCTTCCCATGGGCATCTGGCTGCCTTCTGCAAGGGCGGGCTTTGGTCTCTCAAATTTCAGCAGCGCCCAGTGCAAGGCCAAAAGTCGGCAACTCCCCACCTCTCACCTTCTGTTCTGTTCAACTCACTATGTCATAGTTGCAGTGCCCTGCAGCGCCCCCTAGGCTTGGCACCAGATGCGACAGAGCCCATCACGCCGCTCTCAATCCACCTCTGGGCAAGAACAGGATACAGGGCTAGATGGGCCACTGGCCTGATCAAGAAGGCTTTTCTTCCGTTCTCATGAACTATGGCAGGTGGAGCAAAGCTGCATCTTTCTGCCACCAATGGGTTAGTGCGTAGGCAGCCTTAATTGCCAAGTAAGCTTCCTTGCTTTGCCTCTGTTCCTCTCACCTGCTCAGCAAACAACTGTTACAGCACCACCTAGCGTCCAAGATGATCATTTCATCCACTTGTCAATGCAAGTGAGGTAATATTTAGGCAAAACTCATTGCAAATGCTCTGCTACTGAGCTATCAATATGGCCTGCCGGAGACATTCTTAATTTTTTTTTAGTCTATCCTATTGCAGTTTTAACTTTCTGTATGTTTCAAATCATGGTTATAAGTCTTTCAGTGATAATTTTATTGTTTTACCTGATTTGTTAAACCGCTTTGAGGTTTCTTTTCCACCCTACAACCAAGGAAGTACATAAATCTTATGAAATGAAATTAATAAATAAGTGGAATCAATGTACTTTATTTAATGACATGAGGGAAAGGGTTGGGCAGGACTCAGCACCACCCAAACTGCATTTTGGACAGTGGGATGATAACAGAAGGGGAATAGGGGCAGGCAAGTTAGTCTGTTTCTGTTGTGTGCTAAGTTTGCATTCCTAGGCCCCCATCTGCACTGTACCTTTAAGGCAGAATCGTACCACTTTAAACAGCATGACAGCTTCCCACAAAGACTCCTGGGAACTGTAGTTTGTGAAGGGTGTGGAGAGTTGTTGGGAGACCCCTCACAGAACTGCAATTCCCAGAATGGCTTAACAATCAATTCTTCTTCCCAAGGAACTCTGGGAATTGCACCATCTCCCAACAGCCTGTCAAATAATATATTTCCTCCCACCCCCAAGAAAAGATCAGGCTTCTTCATGCCTGCCAAGTTCTTTCACCCCAAAGTTCTCAGCGGAGACATTTTGGCTCCATCGTACATACAACAGTCACCATTCATTCTTGTGGGAGAAAATCACTGGCTGCGCATGGCAGCTTCTCCTGAGCGGAAACAGACCTGCTCTCCCTGGCAGTGGGCAGTGGGTGGGTGGGTGTCTTCCACTCCTTTGAGGCCTTCTGCTTCCTTGCCTGCCCTAAATACTGTTTCCCAAGCACAAGGCAATCACAAATTGTCCCTAGAACTGGCTGGCAGCCAGTATAATGGACCACATTTTTGCGCCAGCTGTTCCAAAACAGTGGTGGCTACGGGTTCCTTCAAGAACCAAACCTCTTCAGGCCCCACCCTGTCCCTCTCCATTCTAATTCTGCTCTAACTAGCATATCAAGATGGCAGCCTGTAAGGCTCAGATGTAGAATCTCAGGCATCCTTGAGGAGTGGCATTGCTTCTCACATTGCCTGGATAGAGAAGTATCTCTGTGCAGAAACCTCCGGCTGGAACGTAGCCTGCTGTGCACAGGTGAGGATCGCTCCCTTTGCTCCTCCCACTTCCCCCTCTGGCCCCGCCCACCACCGGCACTCAGAAGGTTCCTCAGGGAAGAATGCGCCCCTCCGGCTCCAAAATCCCCCCCAACTCTGCTGTCCTGTGGAGCGTGAGGTGTCTAGATTCCTTGTTCCCAACTGTGGTGTTTCATGCGACGGGAGAAGCATGAATAATTGCGCTCCTTGAAAGAGCATAACGCGCTATGAAAAACTCCTCCTGCTTCAGTCACCAGAAGTACATGTGGCACATTATGCCTCGTGTGATGGATTGAATGAGAAAGCAAGCAAGGGAAGGAATCCTTGCTCTGCCCAAAGCGCTGGGACTCGGAGTGTGTGATTATCCTAGCCCCTGGCAGCTGGCGAATCGGTCTGTGTCAGTTTTTATATATATATGCATCCCATTTGAAGTTTGTCACTTAACAAGTGTGATTTTAAAGCTTTCTGGCGGGGATCTGTACTTGCAGATGTGTTTTTTCTTTTCCCTCCCCTTCGCTTACCATTTGTTTTAATTATTCCTGATGTTTTTGCCTATCAAATTTCACATTGTAGGCTTCTTCAAAAGAGAAGGAGAGACTGTGCAATTGTCATAACAACAAAGCTCTTCATTACCATAAGAACTTTTTGACAGCTTTATTTTTTATTTTTGGGTGGTTTTTTTATATATATAAAAAAATAGGGTTTTGGTTTTTTTAAAAAACAACAACAGCCAATTACTTTTTATCAGTCTGATTCATGTTCTTCTTAAACAGATTACAGTTTTTGCTCCAGAAGTTACAAAGTGATGGGGAGAATGCATTATGCATACTTATGGAAACACACTTCTGGAAAACACAACAACAAGGAATTAGCAAGTCTATTTTCACAACAAGGCGTTGCTGGCATTTTTATCATCATTGTGGTGGTTTGGGGTATTTGCAAAAGTGGGCCAGAACATAGCAGCTCATTTTGCACCCACCGACGGGCAGAGGCTTTCAATTTCTGTATCTGAAACACTGGGCTCTTTCTGCCACTTCCAATGCCACGTGCTAAGCAACCTTTGAAACTGGGGCAGAGAGAGCTTTGGCACAACACTGTTGTCGTGATGGTACAGTGGTACCTCTGGTTAGGAACTTAATTCGTTCCGGAGGTCCGTTCTTAACCTGAAACTGTTCTTAACCTGAGGTACCACTTTTAACTAATGGGGTCTCTACAGCTGCTGCCACATGATTTCTGTTCTTATCCTGAGGTAAAGTTCTTAACCTGAGGTACTACTTCCGGGTTAGCGGAGTCTATAACCTGAAGTGTTTGTAACCCGAGGTGTTTGTAACCCAAGGTACCACTGTACTGTGGGAAAAGGCAATAGCAGGTGCACAGGAAGTGCTCCAGGGCCCTCTGTTTTAACTGTTGGAGGTGCCATGGAGTTGCTGAGGGAAGATGGGGTGGAAATGTTTGGGAAGGCCATAGCTCATTGGAAGAGCATTGGATTTGCATGCAGAAGGTCCCAGGGTCGATCCCTGGCATCTCCAGGTACGGCTGAGAACATCCTCTTCCTTATTCACTGGAGCATTGGTGAAGATAATATTGAATGAGATGGACCAAATGGTTTGACTTAGTATAAGGCAACTTCCTGTAACCCTGAATGATGATAGCTGTTGTTGTTGACATTCATGTGTTTTTGGAGTCAAGGGAGGAGTGCAGCTTTGCGTTCAAGCTTTTGGAGAGTTACAGCACCCGCTGTGGCTGTAGAGAACAATACGGGAGAGACATGTTTTGTTGAAGCGAGTGTGCTGATGCGAGTGTGCAATGACGTTCCTCCCAGTGTCCATTCCTCCTATGTTCACTGCTGTGGAGACACAACCTAATTTGATTGTCTCCAGGTGCTGTGGTCGTCTGCAAGGGATAATAATAATAATAATAATAATAATAATAATAATAATAATAATTTATTTATACCCCACCCATCTGGCTGGGCTTCCCCAGCCACTCTGGGCAGCGGGTTTAACGCCGCCAGCCTTTGTGTCACATTTGCAGATATCTTTGTAACACAGAGATGGGCCTGATGCCTGAAGCCAGCTCCCCCTAGAGCACATCCTTGGGGGTCCTGCCATCTTCCATTCCATGGGCATGACCAAGCCAGCATAGACATCACTGAGACAGGAGTGTGCAGACATGCTGGGAATATGGGCTTGGGAGAGCACATCTTTCTTTAAAACTCCGTCCTGCCATGTAATGCCTAAAATCTTCCTGTGGAAGGCATTGAGGCATCACACACACACACCCCATCCTTAGCTTATAGACTTGGTCTAATACCGCAAACTCTACCTGCCCCGGGTAGTACCTGTGCAGGAGATTGGACACCTGAGTTGCAGGTACTCAAAGGTCAAGAGCCAGATTGGACTGTAAAATGGGGAGGTGGGGAAAACAGAACCACGGAGAAATAGAATTTTTCCATTCAGCACTCGTGAGACCCGAGCTGACGGAGTACCGTAGTCTGACCGCCACTGCCGAAGCCGAGTGTTGACAAATTGAAAAGGGCTCTCAAGGGGGAGAGAGATTAAGAAGGACAAAAGATCCAGATTATTCTAAAGAATATAAGGGGGGAAAGGAAGTTAAATGAGTGTCAGAGTGTGCTCCGTTCAAATAAGAGCTTCTCGTATGCCAGCTTGTCTCCTATTGTTTGGTAATTGCCCGATGGGACGAGAGACACTGATCAGTGACAAATGGCCCATGATAGCATTTTTTTAAACATCCTCGAGTTCTCCGCTAATAGCAGCAATTTACCACATGGGAAACAACCTTACTATGGAATGGAGTTGAGGGTTAGCCAACAAACCCAGGCAGAGGCTAGGATTTAGGCCAAACTGGGCAAATACTTGTTAAATAAACATGTGTACGCTGATTTGCCTATAGAGTGGGGTTGTGGGGGGGTCACTTTAGAATCCCCTCCCCTGCTTTAGCTACCTGTGCTCTGGTCTTCCCTTGACTCAGCCTAGATCCAGCACCGACCTACAATAGGGGGGTCACCTTTGTGTGCTGGTCCTGGGGGCCAACCGAGAGGCGAGGTCCGAGTCCAGTCCAAGGTCGATGGTGTGGTATGGAGGCTGTCCATCAAAGCTGTAGCTGGGTCCAAGGCAGGGAGTCGGGTGGGGTCAGGAACTCTGGCAGAAGAGCAGGTCAGGGTGCAGGCAGGAACAGGCTACCAACAATGTTGCTCCCACAACCTGGGACTGGGGCTAACTGGCTTTTATCTGCCCCGAAGCATAGGGCGGCCCTGGTCCACAGGTGACTCGCCTCTCCTGGCCTGGAGGCGAGCACTCCTCCTGAAGGAACTTAGTTCCCTGCCTCTCTGCCCTGAGCCTCTGTAGCTCAGGAGAGGCTGGAGGGTTACCGGACCCAGAGGCAACCTCCTCTTCCCCTGACGGGGCTGAGAGTGGAGCACCTGCAGGCAATGGGTCCTCCATCACCTCAGGAGCCAGAGCAGACTCAGCTGGTGCCTGCACCTGAGGATCCAGCACAGGTGAGGACCCTTCAGGCTCAGGCCCCAGCCCCGGCTCAGCTGGTTCTGGAGGTGGGGACTCCTGTGCAGGCTGGGATTCCTCAGGTTCAGCCTCTGAGTCGAATCCCAGGCCATCACACCTTGGGTCCCAAGCTCTACAGCACAAGGTGTGTACTTCAGATGTTGTTGGACTACAAATCCCATCAGCCCCTGCCGGTATGGTCAATGGTTGAGAATGACGAGAGTTGAAGTCCAACAACACCTGGAGAGCAGCACGTGTGCTCTACAGGGTTGCTCAAGAAGATAGCGATGGAGGAAATATCACTTCAGATCTGAGTTCAGCCCATGCACTTGTGACTACACCCTACAAAAGTTTGCACTGCCTCATGGATGCTCTTAAAACTCACAGGCATCCAGCTGAACGTTGGGAGATTCAGGGCGTATAACAGAAATGACTTCTTCACATGGCAGTTAAACTAGGGAACTCGCTTCTGCAGGAGGCAGTGAGGGCCACCAACTTGCAGGTCTTGAAAAGAGGATGGACAAATTCATGGAGGAAAAGGCTATCAATAGCTACTAGCCATGCTGACTATGCTCTGCCTCCATGGTCAGAGGAAATCATGCTTCCCAAATACCTGTTGCTGGAATCCACAGGAGGGGGAGAGTGCTCTTTCGCTTGGGTCCTGCTCTTTCCCCACAGGCATCTGGTTGGCTACTGAAAAGAGGGTGCTGGGCAAATAGGAGACCCACTTATGGAAGGAGGATTGTAGGCCACTATGACCCTCAAAGTGTCTCTATTTTCCAGGGACAGTCCCAGATTTACAGAGGCTGTCCTGGTTTCTGATTTGATCCTGGAATGTTCCTTTTTCCTATTTTCACCAGAGAAATGTTGGAGGGCATGAGATGGGCCATTGACCTGATCTAGGTAAAGGTAAAGGGACCCCTGACCATTAGGTCCAGTCGTGGCCGACTCTGGGGTTGCGGCGCACATCTTGGTTTATTGGCCGGGGGAACCGGCGTACAGCTTCCGGGTCATGTGGCTAGCATGACTATGCCACTTCTGATTAACCAGAGCAGCGCACGGAAACACCGTTTACCTTCCCGCCAGAGCGGTACCTATTTATATACTTGCACTTTGACGTGCTTTCAAACTGCTAGGTTGGCAGGAGCTGGGACCCAGCAACTCTGGGACCCAGCTCACCCTGTTGCGGGGATTCGAACCGCCGACCTTCTGATCGGCAAGCCCTAGGCTCAGTAGTTTAGACCACAACGCCCCCCGCGTCCCTTGACCTGATCTAGCAGGTTTCTATCTTATGTTCTTGTGCTCTCATAGTCTCACCATGATCTTTAGGTTCAGATTAAACAATAAAACTGACAGGGAGGCAGGAAACATGTTTTATTTATGGGACGATGCTTCCTTTGTGTGCGCAATTCCTGTGGCACATGTAAGAAGTGCCTGGCTCTTTCCCTTTGAGAGATATAGTTCTGGTTCAGTTGTTACATGAGATGGCGTGGGGGACAATTATTTAATTATGTCAACTACACACATACAAGACGTTGCATTAGGAAACACATATGCACCATCTGCTGGGTACCATGATTTAGCTGTAGGCGTACAGGAGTGGAGACTTGCGGGCATTGACTATTCTGGGAGGCTATAAATGCAGAGTCTCGCCTGCTGAGCATTAGCAAGGGGGGCACGGGGAGGCAGAGGCACATTTGGAGGGACAGTTACTATTACAGCTTTGGAAAGATGTTGATTTTGACAATCAATAAGCGGCATCCACTTAGCGCGAGCCGCTCTCAGAAATAAGCAGGTCGTTTTTATGTGGTAGCGAGATGCAATTCGAAAAGAGAAGCGTCCAAGATGGTATAAATAGCGAGGCAGTTTTCGCAGGCTAAGGTAAGGCTGGCCAACTTATTCAGTTCAGGGAAAGGCTTGATGGAAAATACTATCAGGAGCTGGGAGGTCTGTTGGACTTGCAAGCCAGGAGCTGTATGAATGGGATCCTGGCTCCCTACTGCATGGCCAGATGGACGGCAGGTCAGGACACTCCTATAGCAGCCCAAAGCCCTCCTCCCATAAGTGATATGGGAAGTAATAATAATAATACTAATTTATTATTTATACCCCACCCATCTGGCTGAGTTTCCCCAGCCACTCTGGGCGGCTTCCAATCGAGTGTTAACAACAATACAGCATTAAATATTAAAAACTTCCCTAAACAGGGCTGCCTTCAGATGTCTTTTATAGATAAGATAGCTGCTTATTTCCTTCACATCTGAAGGGAGGGCGTTCCACAGGGTGGGTGCCACTACCAAGAAGGCCCTCTGTCTGGTTCCCTGTAACCACACTTCTCGCAATGAAGGCCAGAAGGCCCTCGGCGCTGGATCTCCGTGTCCAGGCTGAACGGTCTGGGTAATTTGTCACTGGAGGAGCATAGACCCTCCAAGCATCCCTATTTTTCAGGGACAGTCCCAGATTTACAGAAGCAGTCCTGGTTTCTGGTTTGATCCCAGAATGTCCTACTTTTCCTCAGGATGTTCCTATTTTCATTGGAGAAATGTTGGAAGGCATGAATGAGCCAACTTGCAGTGGCAGACCTTGAGGTCTCAAATTTCAGTGGCACCCTGTGTGATGCCAAAATTTGCACGGGGCACCCTGTCCTCTCCTTCCTTTCTACATCATAGTTGTGGTGCCCGCTGCAACACTGTTTTGGCTTCACACACCCCTAAATCAGCCTCTGCAACTGGCCTGGTCTCTGCGTTAGAATGAACCAGCCACCTACTTTTTGCACTGCTGTTGGAAACCTTTGAGTATGTGGGACATTATTGCAGTCAAGCCAACAATTCATGTTTTGCCAGATAGGCACGTGAAAGGGCTGAGGCTCACAGAGCTTTCCCGTAAAATTTGCTAGACAGAACTCTGTGAGATCACTTTCTTTGTCTGCCTTTGCAGGAAGCTGTAACAGTACATACTTTCTCCTGCCTGGGCACCTCTCTTTTTCTATCATGCCTCCAAGCTGAGCACATGTGCATGTCTGAGCTCTGCAGCTCAGACACCATTCTGAACTTATATTTTGTAATTCAGCAACTTAGATGGTCGTTATAAACCTGCCTTCGTTTTGCTGCTGTAACTGCTGCTTCAAGGCCTGGATTATGTAAGTAAACATTACTTTTACTTCTTGACAAAAAATGTGCTTGTGATGGTGTGTCAGGTGAAGGATAAAGAAGCTAATCAGCTGTGCCATACCCTGGACTGGATACAGATAATGCCTGTTCCTTGACAGGATGGAGAAAGAAATCTCTGCCTTTTTCAAGACTGCACCATGGTAAGAATCACACCTGTTGCTCCACCCACTTTTCCCTCTGGCCACACCCACCATTGACATGC